TGGGTAAACTAGTTATGTAGTCTTGATATATGTTTGAATCATCTCCAATATGTCTTCTCTTGATTTTCTTCAATGAATTTCTATTAATGTTGGGTAATTTATGTTAGGTACAAACTAGTGGAAGCTCTGAAAATAGCTTTGGAAGGCTCGCCTCCGAAGACTAAAGACGAAAGATCGAATAACTTGCCAAAAAATAAATATGTAATTGAGACTTGATTTTTATGCAATTACTTTATTTTGAGTGAGTATCATTGTCTAGTTGGTAGGACACAGTTTGAAAACATGATCTTAACCTTTTTTGTTCATTCATATTCTTTGATCATGACGCGTTGTACAGATACAAATTAATGATGCTAATATCAAAATATTATTTTCACGTGATTTGATTTGAGAATTATATCTTTGAAAGTGAGAGTTTATTATGTTGGTTTTTTTTTCATTAGATATATATATTGATTAATTAAACTATAACAGGTATGTGAAATTTGAAAATATTGAAAAATAAATTTTTTCAAACATGCGATAGGTTATTTGTTCATTTTAATGTATTAATTAGTAACGACAATAAGTTGTCAAAAAATCATGTTTCAAATTTTAGTGGTGATTTTTCGAAAGGTAAAGATTGTATTGAAAAGAAGGTATACATGAGCAAACAAAAGTACAACTAATGTTGTCCAACCAAATAGAGAAAAAAGACCAGAATTTAGAGGGAAGTAAAGAGGATACTCAAAACTTCCCCAAGAATTCAAGTCCTAAGATTATACAAAAACAGTCGTCAAAAGAAATCATGCTAAGCAGTTGAGAGGAAGATCCTATAGGTGCACCATCCTAAGATTCTGGGTGGAGTACTTGAATTTAGTAGACATGAGTTTGTCCTTGATTGCTTGTTTGATGACTTGAATCAGAGAGTTGTGATCCCTGAATTGGTTAGAGAACACTTTGAAGTTCCTCTCCATCCATATATGATAAACCGTAGAAGCAAGGCTAAGCTTAAGGATGACAGAGATCATAGATTTTTCCCTCCAATTGATAGCAGCCCAATTAATGAAGGAGTGCCAAGGAGAAGGAGACCACTGAGTTTGGCTGCAGGTGAGAATGGATCTCCAAACACCATGGGAGAAGGTGCATTCAAAAAAGAGATGAGCATGAGACTTAGGGAATTGTCTGCAAAGGATGCATCCCAATTTTTACTTGATTGGCAAGAGAATGAGCTTTGTCTTTGGTATATAATCTTTGCCTAATGGCTAGCCATAAAATAAAGCTCATCCTGGGAATGAGATGTGTGTGCCAAACAAGCTTTGACCAAGGAATTTTCTGACCAGTTTCTCTGATGTAGTGCCAAGCAGAAGTGGTAGAAAATTGACAATTTGCAGTGAGAGACCAGAGGACTTTGTCATCAGCAAGATAGTTGGGGGAATAAACAGGCATAGAATCAACAATCCTAGCCAAAGCAGGAGAAGAGGAGCACCATTGAGACCCAGAGATAATGCAACTAACTTTGGATCTCATGGTGAAAGCAGAGGCAAGTATGGGGATATGACCCCCTCTTTGGAACAAAGGACCATTGGGATGCCAATTGTCAAGCCATAAAAATGTATCATAACCATTACCAATTTTGTGAGACAAAAGAGGTCTAATAACCTCCCTTAACTTCAAAATATTCTGCCATGTCCAAGAGCTAGTTTGGGTAGCTCGGATTTCCCAAAGACTTCTCCCCCTTAAGTGGTAAGCGTGTATCCATCTTGACCATAAGGCCTGTTTGTCCGTGAATACAAATATGCTTCATAAGCAAGGCAGAATTCCAATCCTTAAGCCTCTTAATGCCCAATCCACCCTCATCCTTAGGTTTGCAGACCTCAGTCCATGCCACTTTAGCTCCAGTATTCTTCGAATCAACACCCTTCCATAAGAGCGCCCTCATGAGCTGTTCAATTTTGTCAATTACTAATTGCAAAAAAGCAAGATGGGAGCACTAGAAGACTTGAATGGAACTAATGATAAAAGTCAGAAGTTGAAGCCTACCAGCATACAATAACAATCGATTAGTCCAGGTTCTAATCCTCATTCTGATTCTCTCCACAAGACCTTCACAGTGTTGCCTTTTGAGTCTAGATGTGATGAGAGGAATGCCCAAATATGTTATAGGGAGGTCCCCTTCTGACAGGCCCATAAGTTGAGAGATTTGGGATTTGACATCAGGATGAGTTCCATAGTGATAGATATAGCTTTTTCCCAAGTTGATCTGCAATCCAGAAATGGCTTGAAACTACTGCATTGAAAGATGGAGGACCTTAACAGACACAAGGTCACCATGACTGAACATCAGAAGATCATTAGCAAAGGCAAGGTGGTTGAGATTGATTTTCTTGCATCTCCAATGGAACTTAAAAGGATAGAGAGAGATGTTCTTTTATACAATTAGAGTAAGCACCTCCATTGCAATGACAAATAAGTAAGGAGACATGGGATCCCCCTGCCTGACTCCCCTTTTGCTAGGAAAAAAACCAGCAAGTTCACCATTAATACAGACAGAGAATCTTGGAGACGATAAGCAAACAAGAATCCACTTCCTCAACTTGCAAGGAAAATTAAAAGCTTCAAGAGTCTCTTGTAAGAAGTTCTAGTCAAGGGAGTCAAATGCTTTCATGAGATCAATTTTGATGGCACATCTTGGTGAACCTTTGTCATTATGGTAGTCCCTTAAGAGCGCTTGGGCTAAAAGAATGTTATCCCCANTGAAGTTCCAGTCAAGGGAGTCAAATGCTTTCATGACATCAATTTTGATGGCACATCTTGGTGAACCTTTGTCATTATGGTAGTCCCTTAAGAGNAGAAGTTCTAGTCAAGGGAGTCAAATGCTTTCATGAGATCAATTTTGATGGCACATCTTGGTGAACCTTTGTCATTATGGTAGTCCCTTAAGAGCGCTTGGGCTAAAAGAATGTTATCCCCAATACTTCTTCCTTGAATGAATGCAGCTTGGTTTGTATTGATAATATCAGGTAAAAAATTTTTGATTCTAGAAGCAATAATTTTGGAAATAACCTTGTAAATGGTGTTACAACAAGNTTTTTGATTCTAGAAGCAATAATTTTGGAAATAACCTTGTAAATGGTGTTACAATAAGAAATAGGCCTACACTCACTCATGGTGCTTGGGCTGGGAATTTTGGGGACAAGGGCCAGAACGGTGGCATTAAGCTCTTTGAGGAGTTTTCCAGTAGTAAAGAATTCTTGAATAGCAGCACATACAAGATCCCTAATAATAGGCCAAGATTTTTTAAAAAAGTATGCATTGTAACCATCAGGCCCAGGAGCTTTCATATCCTTAAGGGAGAAGAGAGTATTCTTATTTCATTATAAGTAACCTCTAGTTCCATTTCAGCAACTTGTGCATCAGTGAGTTTTTTTTGTACTAACTCAAAAAGCATTACTCTTCTTTCATTGGATGAATAGGAAAAGCCAGTTGAGCCCATGAGCCTTGGGAAAAAACCAACTACCTCATCTTTGACCTCCTGTACACCTTTAGCAATTGAGTCATCCATTCTTTTCAAGGATAGAATCTTCTTTCTGTTCCGCCTGTCAACCATAGATTTGAAGAAAAAGGAGGGATTTAGATCCCCTTCATTCAACCATTGTATCCTAGATTTTTGTTTCATGACAATCTCTTCATTCCTAGCAGCATCAAGGTATTTAGAAAGGAGGTGTCTCCCTTCCAATCTCAGATTAGGATCAATTTGACTGACATCTAGTTTGGCTTGGCAAATTTCAAGGGCAAATTTGGCTTCATTGGCCGTAGATGTTTCCCCTAATTCTTTGCTTTTACCTTTAAGCATAGTCTTTAATCTCTTGAGCTTGCAACATAATTGGAATTGAAATGATCCATTATCCCTAACACCCCAAGCTTGATTGACCATCTCAAGAAAGTCAGTTCTATTTGCCAAGTAATTAAAAATTTTGAAAGGAGTTCTCCTCTTTATGACTTCTTCCCCAATTTTGACCACAATAGGACTATGATTAGAAACTCTAGGTGCTAAAAATTCTGCACTTGACTACTAGATCATATTGTTCCAAGCTTCATTGACAAGAGCTCTATCAAGTTTCCTTAAGATACTGCTTCCCATAACTCTCATATCTGACCAAGTAAATTGAAATCCAGAGTATCTCAAATCAACAAGTTCAGATTCTTGCAAACAGGTGTCAAAATCTTCCATTGAATTGGTCCATCTCCCTGAACAACCCTTAGTTTCATTGAGACTTCTGATGGTGTTAAAGTCACCAAGAATTAGCCATGGTTCAAAACAAAAGACACATGTATGGTATTTGATGTTCCTCCATAAATCTCTCATGTCATGCTCCTCATTAGATGCATAAACCACAGAGATGAAAAAAGATGATTTACTATCAAGATGCTGCATAGGAAAATGAATAATCTAATATGTCTTAGAAATTCTGCTGACATGTAGGCTATTTGGATTTCAAACTACCCAAATTCTTCCCAATGACAATTATAGTTATCAACATAACTCCAGTCCCTGAACACTTGCCTCATAATGAAGGCCTTATTAACTTGTCTTACTCTTGTTTCCAAAATCCCAATAAAGTCCAACTAATTACAATTAATAAACTTCCTCATTTCTTCTTGCCTAGAGGTCTTGTTGAGCCCTCTGATGTTCCAGCTTGCAGCTTTGATCATTGCAAAAGAGATTTGTTGAGCTTAAGGTGCTCAAAACCCTTAATTTTGTTCTTTTCAAAACCCTTTTTCTTGCATTTCTTCTTTTTAATGTTTTCTATTGTTTTGCATTTAGTATTAACGACTTCAATCACACAACTATCATCCATATGCTTGCCATAGTTGGAAGAGGGGTTAGGTGGAAGTTCGACAATTAATTGCCTCGCTTCCATTTCAAGGACAGAGAATTTGTTAAGAGAGGGTAACAGAATGACATTGCTACCAGCGAGTGAGGGGGTATTAATGTTTATAGAAGTTACCTAATTGTCTTATAGAATGGTAGACAGGGTTCCATTAGCTGGGATAGCAAAAGAAGATGGAGAACCAGAGCATTCAGCAAGTTGGAGGTTATTTAGAGTTTCAGTTTGCTCTTTCATCAAACTTGACTCATTCAACGCAGATATTTCACTTATTTCCTTTCCTTTATCTCCTTTAGATTTATGCTGCAAAACTTCCTTAGGAATTCCTGTGTTGTTGAAATTCATTCTAGGGCAGCTAGACTCATTGTGCCCAAAGATATTGCATGAACAACAAACTTTAGGTCTCAATTGGTATTCCACCATAATTTCTACCATTTCTAATCCACCATCAACATCCAGTTGTAGGTCAAAAGACTCTACAAGCTTGGTATTAGCCTTAACTTTAACACAAACTCTAGCAAAGGATATTCTCTTCTTATTAGCAGTTAGAGAATCTGCATGCAAAGGCTTGCCAACTACACTAGCAATGTAACTTAACCCATCATCACTCCAAAATTGCAGAGGAACATTGTGCAGCTTAACCCATAGAGGAATCATAGATTGATCCTCTTTGGCGAGGATGAGGTCAGCATGCCATCTTTTGAGAATAAGTGGCCTACCTGAGAAAAGCCATGGACCCTCTTCGAAAACCTTAGTTCTGGAGATATCATCCATAAATTTGAAGAAAAATAACCCTTTTTCCATCAACAAGAACTTTGAGAAGCTCCATTCTGTCCCATATCCTATGAGCAATATTATTAACCACCGAGTACAGAAGCTTTTTCTCAACAAAATACCCAACCAAGGATGTCTCCCATTCTAGGCATCCCCTGTTTATAACTTCCTTGGGTGGTTTAACCACAATGTGTTCATTGTCCTTAGTAGGCTCAAAATACTGCAGCTTCATCTTTGAGAAAGACTTTCCAATTTGTGATTGCTGAGCAGCATCCTTGCCATGTTTAACAACTTGACTCCAAGAACCAGCAATTTTCACTGACTTTTCCTGGTACTGAGGAGTTTCCACAACTAAGTCATAAGTAGTTGTGGAGAGCGGATCATTTAGAGTCCCTTTAGGCAGAGCATTGGTAATGACGGGGACAATTCCTCCATTACTGGAACCATCAATGCTATTCAAGGCTGGAATAGGGTTGGTAATGACAACACTGTCATTTCGCACATTACCACCCACCGAGTGGGAAAGAGATGTACATGCATGGGGATCCATAAGAAATTAAAGAGGGGAAGGAATACAGGAGTAGAGATTGGGAAGCATTTTGGGAATTTTTGGTGGTGGGGCTAGTTCTAGTGGGAGGGCTGGTGGCGATGGTGGACTTGGTGGGTGGGGGAGGGGGTGGGGGTGGAGGAGAAATAGGTGGAGGGTCGATTTTGGAGCTGGTGACAAATTAGTCAAAAAGAAAACATAGATCTAGTAAGATCTAAACCAACCCAAATCCAAAGAAGAACCCAGATCCAAAAGAAAACCCAGCTCAAAAAGAAAAAAACAAATCTAGATCAATGGCTTACTTGCGTCACCAGAGATGTACTTTCGTTTCACCAGAGCTCCGACTTTGAGATGCCAGTAGCTGGAACCTTCAATGATAAACAAAATTTAACAAAACCTATGAATCTACCCAATTACATTGATTTGATAATTTTTAGTGGTGATTTTAATTGTGGGTAAAATGTATACTTTTAGTCGTAATTAATTGTTGTTACTAAAAATCAGGTTTTAATCGCACTTTTAGTGGTGATATAGTATATTTTAGTGGCGATATAGTATATTTTAGTGGCAAAATTACGTTAACTTACAACAATAATTATGGTGGCTAAAAATTTCACATTTAGTGACATTTTTCACGGTGCGGCTAAAAAATTTACTTTTAGTGGAAATAATTAAATGTCATAGCTAAATGTTTTAGCTACCCACATATTGTCGCAGCCAGTGGCAATTAAAAAGTTGTCATTAAAGTATATAGTGACAATCTTTATACATTTAACCGCAATAATTTCTGCGGCTAAAAGACGAATTTCTTGTAGTGAAAGATCGATAACTACTCAAACATAAAAGACAAGTAAAAATCTGATTACCTTGTCAGCATCCTAAGAGGTCAACCAATGGAGAGTAACATGGCATTCTAATCAAGAGAACAATTTTAAGGACAAGAATTTCGCATAATTATTGAAGTGCTACTCACACATATGATGAGAAAGTATTAGAATTGATGGTGTAAGTCAACGTGGATGAGCTGAGTACATGTGTGTGTGACCAAATGCATGTCCAAACTATCAAATTCGTAATGGCTGTGATGAAGTGTTCTTTGGGGGGTTATNCGTAAGTCAATGTGGATGAGCTGAGTACATGTGTGTGTGACCAAATGCATGTCCAAGCTATCAAATTCGTAATGGCTGTGATGAAGTGTTCTTTGGGGGGTTATGGATGTTTGCACATTAAAAGTATAGTGGTTCACCGACTGTGGAGCTCGGTTAATCCACTTTTCAATTGAGGTTCTTTCTCTTTCTCCTCTATTCATTGGTCAAATGCATTACAATATGGTATATCTCAAAAAACTAGGGTTTTTTTTCCCTCCCCTTTGATGGAGGCGTTACATAGTATTTATANTGTAAGTCAACGTGGATGAGCTGAGTACATGTGTGTGTGACCAAATGCATGTCCAAACTATCAAATTCGTAATGGCTGTGATGAAGTGTTCTTTGGGGGGTTATGGATGTTTGCACATTAAAAGTATAGTGGTTCATCGACTGTGGAGCTCGGTTAATCCACTTTTCAATTGAGGTTCTTTCTCTTTCTCCTCTATTCATTGGTCAAATGCATTACAATATGGTATATCTCAAAAAACTAGGGTTTTTTTTCCCTCCCCTTTGATGGAGGCGTTACATAGTATTTATAGGACTATTCCCTGTTCTGTAGGATCTCAGCTGAGATCTTTGCCTGTCATTAGTGGAATTCTCCTTGATCTTAGGGGAGAATCTTGGTTGGTTGAGAGTTTCATGTTTTGAACCCAATTTTCATAGTTATCCAGCTGTTCCCTAGTTAGTTTTTGCTACCATCTCCCCAGGGGGAGCTCTAGCTTTGGACTTCTAAGCTCATCGTATCCTACCTGACCTGACCTCATTTCTTGAGCTCGCTCTTATAACTTTTTTGAGGTAACATCAGTTGCCCCCAAGCCCCTGGTTCAAGCGNTTGTAGGATCTCAGCTGAGATCTTTGCCTGTCATTAGTGGAATTCTCCTTGATCTTAGGAGAGAATCTTGGTTGGTTGAGAGTTTCATGTTTTGAACCCAATTTTCATAGTTATCCAGCTGTTCCCTAGTTAGTTTTTGCTACCATCTCCCCAGGGGGAGCTCTAGCTTTGGACTTCTAAGCTCATCGTATCCTACCTGACCTGACCTCATTTCTTGAGCTCGCTCTTATAACTTTTTTGAGGTAACATCAGTTGCCCCCAAGCCCCTGGTTCAAGCGAGCTTGGGCAGGGGTTGAGTTGTTTCTAAACCAAGCTAGGCTTGCACGTGGCTGTCCTCGGCTTGCACGTGATAGATGCCTTTTGGACGGTTTTTCAGCAATCATGGCTTCCTCGATTCTCATGCATGTTTCAGTCCGCGTCTCTCAATCTTTAAATACTCTATCAGAACCGCCCTTTTTCACTGTTTAGTTTCTTTGTTGTCTTTCTCTTCTTGCGGTCTCTTGGCTTTCTGATTTGAAGTTCTCTGATTCTTTATTCAAGATCGAGTTTTCTGGGTTTGATTTGAAGTTTTGCCTTGCCCTCTTTCTCCAATTTTGCTCTAGGCTGCTGTTTGTTGCTCTTTCCTAACTATGTATACCTCTTTTGCCCCCTTTTTCACCTTTTATCGTACTGGATCCTTCGAGTTCAACGTGGTTATTGCATTTCTAGGCTTTTCGGTTCTTTTATCTTTGGAACCGAAACTACTGCTTGTCTCCTCTTCCCCACTTCGTGGATTGGTGCCCTATCGTGCGAATTCTCGCTATTGGAAGCTATTGTGTTGACCCTAGGGTTATCTGGGAGTGCCTTACTAGTATCCCTCACCTATAATGTTCTCTCGATTTACCTTTCTCTTGTTCAATCATGTCTACCCCTTCTAGAGTTACTCGCTCCTTGGTTTCTCTATTGGAAGAAAGGTCTGCTGAAGAGGACACTGATTTAAGGGATGTGGGCAAGAAAATTGATAACTTCCCCAGTGTTGATGCTGCCAACGCCGAGGCAAATACTGAGGAACCTCCCCTATTATTTTCTTCTGTACCCCCTAATCCTAATAAAGGTAAGGGCAAGGTGAGTGGGGTAGGAATACCTGACAGCGCAGCGGACATAGGGGCTGCCTATAGGCATGCTGATCTCGTGAAAATTTTCAACGGTCGTTATGGTTTTCCTCTTGGTGTCTAGCCCTGGTGCCCAAATAAATCCACCTTATATGTTGTCCAGGTTCATAAGAAAGTCTGTTTCTTCATGACCGCTTTTGAGAATGCCCTTCACTTCCCTATGCACCCCTTCATCAAGAATGTTTTGCAACAATTCAACGTTTGCCCTGGTCAGCTTTCCCCTAACTTCTGGGGTCTTCTGGTGGGTCTTCTGGTTTTATTTAAGAAATATGAGCTTGGGGTTCCCAACCTCTCCTTGCTTATGGATCTTTTTAATGTCAAGTTCACCTCATCTGAGGACTTCTTGTATATCTCCAAGTGAACCACGGCTAGGCAGATCATTACTCATCTCCCGAGTTCCCACAAAGGCTGGAAAAAATAATTCTTTTTTGTTGGGGGCACCAACTGGGAATACAACCCAACTGATAGGACTGACACTTTTAGTATCCCTACAACCTAGTCCACCCTCGATAACTTAGGTGACTCCTTGCCCGAACTGACTGAGTTCTAATTTGAAAATTATGAGTTGTCTTTTTGAACTTTGCTCTCCTTGTATTGTTTTTTAGGCACTCGACCTGAGCTCAGTGCTAAGGACGAGAAAGTGAAGTAGAAGTTGGAGAAGTGTATCCAGAGAGATACTCCGAGCTCATCAAGCCCTGGGTTCTAGTAACACAGGGATTTAGTCCTCATGAGGTATCGATAGAAGCTCTGCTCCCCATCTCTATTGTTAGACCTGAAGACGTAGAAGGTAATACTTTCTGAATTGATTTCCTTGTCTTCCCTTCTTTTTTCTCTTTTCTGTTTAACTAGCTCGGTTCAGACCTTCCAGGTTCTTCCATAATGAAATCTACTCCTGAGAAATTCCAGGCTAAGGTTAACCTATTGAAGAAGAATAGGAAGAGTAGCAAACGAAAGATTGAGATCAGCTCTGGAGGCAGCCTCTTCTCTTGCCTTGACCATAGAAGGACAAACTCCCTTATCTTAATCCCCGACAACCTCCTCTCTTCAAGGGGCTCAGTTTGCTCCCAAAAAGGCTTCTGAGCCAGGGCTGGCTTCCCCCACCTCTTCTGAGGTTGAGGGAGCCTTGGGGCTGATTACTCGAATTCAACTAGGCTCCACTTCTCCTGGACCATCTGAACGACCATCCCAGCTGCCTCTCTGGAGCCCCAAAGTCGAAAATAGGGAGGACCAAAAAACTGATGAAGACTCCTTCTTTGACAATGCTGAGCTAGCTGCTAGAGTCATTTCATCCATTCTTCCTGAATCTGATATTCAAAGGGCCTCTACCATTCCCCCTAAGGCCTCTTTCTGCTCAGCTCTCCAAGGAGCAGCCACTATAAGTGTTTTTACTCTCCCTCTTAGCTTGGTGCGGTTAGCTTATGCTAATCTGTACTTATTTTCTTTTCTGCCCCCAGATGACTCTCCATTTGAAGAGCTTAATGGGCAGGGTCCGATTTTCAGAGGACTCTACTAAAGCATTGAAGACATGAGTTTAAGGTCGCTGAGCTGACCTTTGACAATGATGATCTCAGAGCTCAGGTGCAAGGGTTCAAGGAGCAAATGGAGAAACAGGCCTCTAACCTCAAAGGCTTTCAAGCTGCCAAGGATAAGGCTAATGAAAGAGAGAAGAAGGTCAGGGATGAGCTGAGGATGACCAGGGAAGAGCTGCTTCTCAAAACTAATGCCTAGACCAAAGTTAGTTAGGAAGCCTTTGATGCTCAGAGTTCCCTCGAGGGCCTTAAAAAGGAGTATGTCATCCTGGCTGAGGCGAACAAGACCTTATGTAGTGAGCTCGAGGTGCAGAAGACTACTGTCAAGAAGAGGGAAGATATA